TATAAACAGTATAAACCTATTACGTAGCTAGTTTATATTTTTATCAGGTTTTGTCAAGAGTTTTGTCGGCATCACTAGCCTGTACTATACAATAAAATTGCGGAATAAATTTTTTCTCATTGGATTTACGTAAAAAGTACAATTTTTTTATGCATGCTATAAAATATATGATATTAATATGCAAAAATTACTACTACTTTTCGCGCACGCTATCATAAATTATTAGATCTGGCCTATTAGATCCCATAAAGATTACATTTCATGACGGTCATTATTATTTTTTTTAGATTTTCAATCATCAGTATCAAGTATCGGTATAGGAAATTTTTTAGCATAATATTACATGATAATCGAAATTTTCCTTTACTGATAATTTGAAGTCATGCACTAATTAGTTCTGACTAATCAGATACTTTGAAACGGTCAGGGTACTTGTGATAGGATAATACAAATTCCTAAAAAGGAAATAGCCAATCAGTGAGTGCAAATTTTGATCGTTCCGGATCAACCTGACATGATTCCGAACACGTGCGAAAGAAGAAAAAAGCGAAAATACCCAAAAACTAGTGTTTAAATCGGCCTTGATGCACTAATTAAAAATGTCGGGAACGCAATTTTACAATTTTACATATAATGGGCAAAAGTTTATAGATATAGCTTCTAATGTTAACGTTCTAACCCTAAATTTGTGCTTTTACGCACTTTGTTTATTTACAAAATCAAATTTCCTTTTTTGTGTTGTATTACCGGCACAAATAAGTAAATCCTTTTTTTTATCGTTAAAAGTTGATCAGAACCTGTTAATTAAAGTCATGAGCTATACACTTACGTAAGGATATAGTTTTGACCAATCGAGTACTTTGGTGCTTGACGCATCAACTCAAAATAGCAATACTTCCTCAAGTCGTCAAGATATGCTTGATAAATCATTACGTATTAGAACAGGAAATGACTACAACTTCTTCTAACAAAATTTTACAAGCCATTTTTAAATTTGTTGACGCTAAAAATGAGCGGGATTATGGTACCTTATATAATTGTGCTTTGGTCAACCGGCAGTGGTGTAATAATGCGATTCCTATATTGTGGCAAGATCCTTTACGGACAAAAAAGTGATAATGTGATAAAGATATTATTGTCATTTCTTGATAATGATCAACTACAACAACTTGGTTCATTTGGACACAGACTAACTCTTAATGAAAATAAAAAGTTTGACTATCCTTCTTTTATCCAATATTTAAATTTAAACTTTATCTGGGAATCTCTTTACGACTTGTATTCAATGAATGTGCAGCATCCTAATGACTCAAACTTGTTTAATGACATTGAATTAACTTTTACAGTACTTTTAAAGATGCTAGCTCAGAAAGTTACCGATTTGAGGAGACTTCATATTAATCTTAGGCTTCATTCTAGCAATATTGACGAAGTTTCCAAGGGAGACATAAAAAATAACATTTTGAAGCGTTTATTACAACCGGAAATCAGTGATCTTTTAAGATCTACAAATGAATTACGGTGGTTTCAAACAAGACCTTACAAGGGATACTTTGTTTCACTCTCCATGATCTTCTCAAATTTGGTGGGCTATAAAACTCATATTTATACTTGTATTGTTGAGTGCATGTAATATTTTTTTTTAAAAATGAACTAATTAAAAAAATTTTTTAATAAAACTTTAATACAGGAAAGGTTAATCATCAGTCTTGGCAACTTCGATGAAAGTCAAATTGACGATGCTACTGGATTTATTAGGTCACAAACGCATTTAAAATATTTGGAAATTTTTAATTGTAATTCTGGCATCGAAAAACTTCTTACATTTTCACGAGATCAAGAGTTATCTATACAAACACTTATTTTATATCACGTAGATTTTTATGGATGTGGACCATTAACTAGCTTAGCAAAATGTGAAAATTTAAGGCACCTGGCTTTTCGTTATTGTACATATATCCAAAAAAAGATGTGTGATCCGTTGTTTTCTGCTAATTTTCCTAAGCTTAATAAGGTTGAAGCACCATTTACTTCATGCCCGGCACTTGAAGAATGGGCTAAAAATTATTACAAGTAATTTGGTGAATTTAATGCATTATATAAAAATTTTCAAATCAATTAACTTTATTATTTTATAGTCATTTATTTATTTTATCTTTTATTTTCGTTTTATTTTATGATGTTCTTTATTTCAATGGTGAAGAGGTTTATTTATATGCAAATTTCTTATTGTTTAGGAAGTAAATTTCTTGAATTCGAGCACAATATATAGTTTCTTATATAGTCAACTCTCTCTAAGTGCAATTAATTAGGATCAAGCTTTTATAGCAACATGCATTTAGAGAACACTTAAGAAAAATTGCATTTATAGAGAATTTATTAAAGCCAAAAAAATACTTGGACCCAAAGTTAAGGTTGCATTTAGAGAGAAGTTGCACTTAGAGAGGTTGCACTTTGAGAGAGTTGACTGTAAATAGAAAGTAAAGTATAAATCATATTTCTGTCTTTCAGAATATAATATCGATATATTGTAATTAAACTACTATTAATGTATTTTATTCAGTAAATTGTCCGCATGTGTTTTTGCCAAATTTATAAATTTCTTTTGAACCTTTCATAACTTATACTAAAATGGCATAATAATATGGATATTACTCAGGGTGCGTAACGCAACAATGGGATCGTATACGCAGCTGTTTAAACCAGTTACAATAATACACTTGCATAATCACAAGGAAATGACTTTGCCAATGCTCAATTCGAATCACTTTCAATTAAATACTGAAATAAGTAAATACTAATCTGAATTTCCCAAACTAATGCTTGAAAGTTATACGTATAAATCGTTCTTAAATTACCTGTCTCAACCATTCTTCTAACGGTACACGTTGAGGCCAAATTGGCATATAGTCTATTCCGTTCGACGAGATCAATGATTACACTATGATGAAGTTTTAAATTTTTTTATTATGTTCGGTATATCTAGAATTACCATTTAGATGATAAACCTAAAATTAACTTATAAATTAAAACTTTATCAAAGTTTTTAATAAATAAAAACTTATAAACTATAATTAGATAAAATTATTGATTTATATTATTAAAATTAAACAAATTTATTGAATGAAATTTTGCGACATTGCCCCAGGATGATGACATCTACTTTCGCTGATTCACAAAAATCGTCTAAATAACTAGTGTCCAGTGAACTATATCAAAATGGTCAGTACATAAAAAAACCCCATCCTACACAAATCCAATTCTAATCTTAAAATTTTAGGGTAAAATGTTTTAATAATTTTTATATAAATCCATTGTCACGTAGACTTTCTGTATATCGGGGTCTTCGTTCTGACCTCTTTCGAATTCCACTCGCTTGGCTATACACACAGGAATGGGTGACGTTCCACCTCGACACCTCAGCAACGACGACCACGCAGTTTTTTTCTCTTAGCAAAAGCCAAAACTTTCTTTATTATTATTAAGATCGCTAAATTTAAATACAAGATTATCTCCGGATATATATTTATCCGGGTTAGACTTTTAATTAATTTCATGCAAATCCAAATCACGCCACTTATGCAAATCCAAATCACGCCACTTATGCAAATCCCGATCCTTATCGTACCCGCCACTCGAAATCCCGGGGTCACGAATTAACCCGTGACACCATAAAATCGTGAGTATATAATTAAACCTTAAGAGAGGGTAATGTCGATCATTTTCATATGACCTGCATGGTAGATCGATCTTCCCCAGCATCGCCAGAAAAATTTTTACTATCACGTGATATTCGACAAATTTCTTTAATTTTGTTTACGTT